AAACCCCACGGAAAAATGTGGATTTTTAAAACCTCTGAGATGCTATTTCCTGTTGTCTAAGGTACAATTTTGTTCCCAGTTGCTGATTTTAAAACAATGTATACCTAACGGGTTTTTCTTCTTTGAATTTGGTTAGCAAGCAAGTATGTAAGGTTAAATCAAGACCTCTAACCTTTTTACTCCTCAGGTCATATCAAATAGGTCACAATCTACCTCCCCAAAAAATATACACTGCACCATTAAATGATGGCTGAGGAGGGCTAGGGCAGGGGTTTCATTAATTTTTTCAGCAGGAGGGCAACTGGTTTTCACAGGCGGGCAAAACTTTTTGAACTAAACTTCTTTATAAGAGAAAGCTTCCTCCAGATTGTTACACCAGGTGGGCAAAACCGTCCTTACAACCGGTCAATTTGGCCGGTGCCCGGCCCTTAATGAAACCCCTGCTAGGGATGGTAAAGGACGGCTAAGGATGGTTGGGGAGGGCTAGGGATGGTAAAGGATGGCTAGGGATGGTACATGATGGCTGGGTATGGCTATGGATGGTAAAGGATGGCTGGGGAGGACTAGATATGGTAAAGGACGCCTAGGGATGGCTATGGATAGCTGAGGAGGGCTATGGATGGTAATGGATGGCTAGGGATGGTAAATGATGGCTGGGTATGGCTATGCATGGTAAAGGATTGCTAGGGATGGTGAAGGACGGCTGTGTATGGCAAAGGATGGTAAAGGAGGGCTAGGGATGGTAAATGATGGACAGGGATGGTAAAGGATGGATAGGGACGGTATAGGATGGACAGGGATGGTAAAGGATGGATAGGGATGGCAAAGGATGGCTAGGGATGGTAAATGATGGATAGGGATGGTAAAGGATGGTAAAGGATGGATAGGAATGGTAAAGGATGGTAAAGGATGGATAGGGATGGTAAAGGATGGACAGGGATGGTAAAGGATGGATAGGGATGGTAAAGGATGGCTAGGGATGGGAAATGATGGATAGGGATGGTAAAGAGTGGATTGGGAAGGTTAAGGATGGTAAAGGATGGCTAGGGATGGTAAATGATGGATAGCGATGGTAAAGGATGGTAAATGATGGATAGGGATGGTAAAGAATGGAGAGGGATGGTAAAGGATGGATAGGGATGGGTAAAAGATGGATAGGGATGGTAAAAGATGGATAGGGATGGTAAAGGATGGCTAGGGATATTAAAGGATGGCTAGTGATGGTAAATGATGGATAGGGATGATAACGGATGGATAGGGATGGCTAGGGATAATAAAGGATGGCTAGGGATGGTAAATGATGGATAGGGATGGTAAAGGATGTATAGGGATGGTAAAGGATGGAGAGGGATGCTAAACGATGGATAGGGATGGTAAACGATGGATATGTCGTCTATACGGCATAAAACTATATGTCGTCTATATGGCATTCAGCCATGAAGTACATACCATTCTTTTGCAGAGGACAACTAAGAAATGTACCTTGTTTTAAAAGGCACATGCTGAGCTATTGTCCTGCTTATTAGATCATTTGTTTTGTCTTATCTCAGTTTCTGTCATTGTCTTGGTTTGCTTTAAGTCTCTATTGTCTCAAGTTCACTAAGATGAATATAAAAATCAACTTTAGACTTACAAAAAAATACATAAAATATTGCATTTTTAAATCCTAGTCACAATCACCACTTTTAGCAGTTTATCATTTTGTTACTATCACGTGAAATAAGAATATTACCTATTCTTGACTTCATCTTCTTACCAAGTCTTACAATATTAAAAAAAAAATCC